GTAAATCCAACGCGGGAGCCTGAACAAAGCACCCGTGTGGAAGCTTCAAAAGACAAGTCACGCAAGGCCTTCGGTTTTCGGTTCAGTGTGTTGTTCGCTGGTGCGCTGATTACCAGTCCGCGTTCCGGGATCGGCCCCTAGCCTTATGCATCCAATAAGACAAGCGGAACGTGGACGGGACAATACCTTATTGGCTGGGGGTTGTCCGTCTTGGGCGAGCGGTAGCTGTCCAATGAAGTGCGAAGACTTCTCCCACCGTCGAGAGGAAGCCCTAGGTATCCCACTCATACGGCCATCTAGCGGGATTTTTTTGACCGGTAAACTGCCCCTCATCGTGTTCATTTGCTGGATTGGCCTCTCCATGGGCGTGTGTATAGAAAAGGAAGTCAGGAGGTGCCCAAGCAGCTGGCCTTGAGACTGGTTTTCGTCTGGCCTCTACCCAAGGACCTTTCGGGCATGATTGGATCTGCGGCTGTGAGGAGTCAGTCTGCATAGCTCGCAGGGTCACTGAAGCGCCCAAACCATCAAATCACTTCACGGTGCAGTCTCGTCGTGATGGGAGAAAGTAAAAAAAAAAAATGAAAAAAGACTTAAATCCCAAAACTGTTAACAAAGCCTGTGAAAATCTGCTCTTTGTTAGGATACGTGCTAATGAGGGTACTGCAGAGTTACGATATGTTTATTCGAGAGGGGACAACGATATTGAGTTCTCATCAGACCGCGCAAAGGTCTACGATTTCGTCTCTCCTTCATTTACTATCACAAGCGGAGTTCGATAAGGGTGCCTAGCTTCGCCCTTTCCCTTTAATTTCGCAATAGACAAAATCCTAAGCAGCGCTCTAGAAAACCGCAGAGCTTCCGAAGTGGAGCTCTTCACAGGTGATCGGCTCTGTGACTTGGAATATGCTGACGATATCGTTTTACTGTAATCAAAACGTCCTGTGTAAGTCAGCATTGTCCGTCACGCAGTTTGGTATGACATTTTCTCCATCTAAATGTAAGGCGTTACTAAAAGACTGGTAAGAGGCTACACTTGTCCTTACGCGGATGAACGACCAGTTGGAAATCGTTGATCACTTCACTTATCTCGGGAATTGTTTTACCTCAAGAGGACTGACGGAAGAAATATCCGCGCGTATCCGCAAGGCTTGAGTGGCTTTGGCTAACCTACGTCGCTTGTGGCGCCGACGCGATCTGTCTCTCCTTGAAAGGCCGCGTTTACAATGCCATAATACGGTCTGTCCTACTCTACGGCTGAGAGTTGGCCCCTCCACGCAGACGTACGGAGATTAAGTGTCTTTAACCACCGTTGCCTTCGTTGCATTGCCAGAATACGTTGGCAACAGCGAGTCAATAACTAAGAGGCTCGCCGAAGAATCTTCATCGCAGACAATCTCAGTCGTCCTCTGAGTGCCGTCACCACGCTCCAGAGACTTCGATGGCTAGGACATGTGTTGCGGATGCCAGCTCACCGAGTACCCCATCGTGTTATAACTGCGCAAGCAGACACTAACTGGAAGCGGCGACACGGTGGACAGCGAATAATCTGGGCTCGGACGATGAAGGCGTTAACCATAAAACTAGCAGTGGTAGGATTCTCTAGACTCCCAGATTGGGGCCCCAATGACAGAGAACATCTATGGCTTGATACACTTACAGACATGGCTGGTAAACGGCGTCAATGGCGCACTTGTTACGAGACTCTTATTCGCTGGTTTAAATTTAAACCGTTCTCACGTCTCTTTCTTCCTATGTTGGGGCACGTGTCAATTCTATCTAATTAACTACGTGTTATATATATATAT